ATGGCCAATAGATACATAAAAAATGTTCAATATCACTAATCATTAAGGAAATGCAAATTAAAACCGTCATGAGATATCACCTCTAACCCATAAGAATGGCTATTACAAAAAAGCCTGAAGATAACAAGTGATGGAGAGGATGTGGAGAAAAGGGAACCCTTGTACATTGTTGGATGGCAATGTAAATTAATACCACCATTATGAGGAACATTATGGAGGTTCTAAAACAAAATAAAAAATAGAACTACCATAAGATTCAGCAATCCCATTACTGGGTATGAGTATATATCCAAAGGAAAGGAAATCAGTATGCTAAAGACATATATGGCAAAAAAAACAATTATTATATATTTTGACATCTCAACAAAATTAAAAACAAATATATTGTGCCATATTTTTATTTAATTAGCACTATTCTGTTCAACATGTCATTATTTTGTCTCAGTAAGACCTGAGCACAAATTTAAAACCATTTTAGGGCTAACATTTTTCTTCTCTCTCTCTCTCTTTTTTTTTTTTTTCTGAGACACAGTCTCACTTTTTCACCCATGCTGGAGTACAGTGGCATGACCACAGCTCACTACAGCCTCGCCCTCCCAGGCTCATGTGATTCTCCCAATGTAGCCTCCTGAGTAGTTAAGACTACAGTTGTGTGTCACCACGCCCAGCTTATTTTTTGGATTTTTTTTTTGTAGAGTTGGGGTTTCACCAAGTTGCCCAGGCTAGTCCTGAACTCCTTGGCTTAAGTGATCCACCTGTTTTGGCCTCCTTTGGGAGCAAAGCACTGGGACTACAGGCTGAGCCGCCATGCTAAGCCTTTCTTCTCTTTATGAAAGAATTACATGGAATACAAATACTTACTGCAAAATTGCACTCATAACTTTTGTGTTGCTTTTCTGACAAGGACAGCTTTTCTTGCCATAAAATGCCTTAAAATTTAAAATGACTAATATCAATTAATTGTAGAGAAATGATGCTACATAAATGTAGCATCAGTGCTTTTTTTCTTAAGGCTGGGAAAAAACCTTAACATCATCCAGTTCAAATAACTTTTTAATCTTTGGATTTTCCCTGAAAAATATTCTCAACACTTTGAGACTCTAATATTCAATAATTTCTTACATCTCTATGAGTACTATTAATAATTACTGCCATTAACTATTAATGATGCCAGTGGATTGATGATTCTTCCTTAGGTATGATGGAGAGGAAGAAAAGTAAAAACCATGCAGTATCTGTTCCAAATATCCTTTCACAATACATAATGCTAAATCTAAATCTAATCAGGACCTCAAACAAAAGTCTTTGGTAAGAATTTAGTTTCTGAAGTTGTACTATATTTAAAAATTCAAAGAGTAAGCCCATTACATGGATTCCACAGCAATCCTGAAGAAAAGTAAACATAGGAAAATCCAGTATTTGTCATAATTAATGATGAAACATCAGATTATACAGAAGAATGAATTAGAATGAAATCCAGATCAAAAGCTTGTTATGTTAATGAAACCTTCAGAAGACACAGATTTACATTCTTGTTCAGTTAACTAGCTGATTGTACTGATCTGGACAAACTAATCTCCATGAGCTCTAGTTTCTACTTTATACAATGGGGTTGTAATTCTCTCCCGATCAAAACTCCTCCACTAGAGTTGCGAATATTAAAAATTAAATGTGATTGTATCTAACACACTTTAGTGAAAACTATAGCACTGAATATATGTTGTATTTAATAAATAATTCAAATTTAAAGACAAATCAATCTGTAATATAAGAATGAGTATTTTCAAATCTTTTTCTTACACACATCTTATAGTTAGTTACAAGTATAAACTCTCCTTTAGAAATAAACTCTGTGGTTAAGATTATCTCTTATCTTTTCTTGTAGTGTCCTTAGCAATGTTTTTAAGATACCAAAGGATGACTTGGCTTCTTAACTGCCAGCCCCAATCCCTACAGCAGCTGTTTTCATGTATTTAATATACAACACTTAGTGTGGGGTAAAATTTTTAACAAAAGGTTCTGAGAGAAATAAAAGTTTTGAAATCATGGCCCTAAATCATCTAGCATGCTGATTTGCACATAAACATCCACTGAATGAGTATTTAGATACCAACCTGTTATAGCAAAATTTCCAACAGTTTGAGAGATCTTAACATTACACAAACTTTTATTCATTTTACTCAAGTAGTTATGATTAGAAACTTTTATATAATTATCATAGTATATTATAAAGTATGCTCTGATTTATTACATTTGAATTATCCCATCACTTTTTGAGAACAGTGATTCACAAAAGCAAAACTTTATGGAGGTTTAGAAATAAGAGAAAAAAGCTTGGAGGAGGGACCTTTAATGGTGATCTCACTGAAGTATTTTATTGATGAAAAACATGACATCCAGAGTCAGTGTATGTCAATTTTTTCTATTCAAGTCCCCTGAAGGCAGAAAGAATGATAATGTATCCTCTGGGAACAGACAGCTCAAGGTTACACTCTAGACAACCCAAAATTTGGTAGTCTTATAATTTATCATAAAAATTAATGCAAAATTTAGATTTCTGGTTTCTTTCCTTCTAAAATTCAGATGTTGAGACTTGTGAATTTCTGGTTCCTATCTGGAGAGTTAGAGAACCAGAAAGAGCCAAAAAAAAAAAAAAAAAAAAAAAGGATGGACAAATAGCAAATTCACATTGAACCAGTTAGACTGAACATCTTATACTCAGTTTGGAGTGAGACGAGGTGGGGCATTATATATAGAGGATCAAAGATAAGAATTATGGCAGACATTTACAAAATTAAAGAAGCTAGATGACAAAGTGCAGAAAGACAAGAATTATCAACACAGAATTCTACACTTAGTAAAAATATTTTTTAAAATAAAGGACAAACAGAAACTTTCTTGCCAAAAAATTGTAGAAACTACTGCCAGCAGACCTACTCTTCAAGGTATTTTGAGTCTTCAGGAAAAACAAATACACCAGCAGAAAACCTGGATTTAAACAAGGAAACAAAGAGCAATCAAAACTGAATAAATGAAAGTAAAAAAATGATTTACTCTTATGTTTAATTATTTCTAAACTGAATGGTTCAAATGTTCAAAGCAAAAATAGGAAAATCTATTATATACTTATAGCATATGTAAGATGTTTAACAACAATGGCACAATAGAAGGCATAAAGTAATTGGCATTTACTGTTCTTAGATCATTATACTGCATATAAAGCAGTATAAAATTATGTGAAAGCAGATTTTGGTTAATTAAAAGTGTATACTATAAACTGTAGAGTGAACACTAAAAAACAATAATAAAATATGTACATGTAATAAATAGGTCAACGGAAGAGATTAGATGCTCAATTAACTAACAGGAGATCAAAAAAAGAAGAAAAACAAAGCAAAAAGATATGAAGCAAATAGAAAACAACTGCTAACTGGTAGATTTTAATCCAATCACATCAATAATCACATTGAAGAGAAATGGCCTAAAGATACCACTTAAAAGAGAGATTATCAGATTGGATAAAAAGCATGATCCAAACATATGCTATTGATTTTAAAAAAAATCACCTTAAGTACACAGACATATGCAGCTTAAAAGTAAAATGATGGAGAAAGATACTGAATGTAAACACTAACCAAAAGAAAGCTAAAGCAGTGATATAAACTTCGGACAAGATGGACTTTAGCACAATAAACATTATCGGGGTTAAGGAGGGCCATTAAGTAATGATAAAGGACCAGTGCCCCAAGAGCATAAATCCTAAAAGTTTACATACCTAACATACATGTTTCAAAATGCTTAAGGCAAAGAGTGACAAGACTGAAAGATCAAATAGGCAAACTGATATTCATAGTTGGAGGTTCCAACACACCTCTTAACAAAGTAGGCAGAAAGAAACAGCAAAAATATGGATAATCTGAATACCATCAGCCAATTTGACTTAACATTTACAGATACCCGAACAGAATATATGCTGTCTTCAAGTGCACATGAAATATTTACCAAGATATGCTATACTCTGGACTATAACAAAAGTACAACATTCAAAGGAATAGAAATCACAAAATGTATGTTCACGGATCATAAAAGAACTAAATAAACAAAAAATAGCAAAAAGATACCGGAAAACCCATTCGGAAATTAGGCAACACATTTCAAATTAAACCATGAGTCAAAGAGGGTTCAAGGGAAATTGAAAACATTTTAAACTAAGACAACAAAACAGCCTATCAAAATTTATGAGATGCAGCTAAAGTATTGCTTACAGATAAATGAATAGTATTAAATGCTTTTATTAGAAAAGGTCTAAAACCAGTAATTTAAGCTTCCACTTTAAGAAACCAGAAAAAAAAAACATAAATCAAGAAGATGGAAAGAATATAGAGTGGAACAAAAATCAATGAAAGTAAAAACAAACACAATATAGAAAAATCAATCAATACAAAATCTGTTCTCAAGTGAAACAACGTGGGTACAAATTATAAAAGGGAATTACTAAGGAAGAAGCAGGAGTGGAAAATCCAAAGAGCAGAAGATGTAGAAAAATATAATGATGATATCACCTAAGAGTGGTGTGTTCTTAATTACCTCATTTAATTCTTTTTGGGTTCCAGTTTCCTCATTTGTATAAAGAGGGTGAAAAAACATCTTTCAAAGGGCAAATGTACAGATTAAATGAGATATTCATAAAAAATACTTGGAAAAATAATAAAGAATCTTAGTTCTAAGTAGTATGATCAACAGACTAATTTTTATATAATGCATGAAATGTCATATTAAGTTCAACATACCTTTAAGGACCTCGAAGGTATGATATTACAGCAAAACAAAATTTATAAATTAGCATAAAAATTTTTTTTTGGTGGCAGTAATGGAGTTCATTTAGGAAAAGTAATTACAAACTAATAGCATGGCATCTTGGTAAGTTTTCTCTTCAAGAACAAAGTAAGAAATATAAATGAGAAGTTTCATAAGACAAATATAATCCACTGCAGATATACCTTTTTGCAGATTTTTTCAAAGTTGATATCATCACCAAGAGCAGATTTAGTTACTATATCAGGTTTCAATTCCTGCGAAAGAATAAAACAAATTTTAGTTACGTGTCTATCTTTAAATTAATCACTATTATTAAGTTCCTTTCTGTGTCTTAAGAAACTTAATATTAAATAACATCTTAATTTTGAGAAAGGAATTAACTCCCACCACAGTAAGATATTATCATGCTACTAAAATAGCCACAGCAAAATGACTTTAAGAGCAAATCTTTCTGAGAACAACATACAAGGCAAGTAAGAAGCAGTATTTTCAAGGAACTCCATACAAACAACTCTAACCTTAGGATTTTATACCCAGTCAAGCAGCTTTTCAAATATCTAATGTATAGAAAAACAGTTTTGAACTGCAAGAATTCAGGAAATATTATATATATGTGCCTCTTCTGAAGAATCTTCTAGAAGCCAGCAAAAGATAACTTTGATAAAATAATTGATGTTGAGTACTGTATCTATTTGTAGAGCTATGACTAAAATAAGTGTGGGGGTATAGGAGAAAGAACAGTAGGTAGGCTTTATATGTTTTGATTAAGCAAGAAAAACTACAACTAGAAAAAGTAGAGGAGATGGGGAAAGAGTAAGATTACTGACTACCATCTAGGTCGGGTAAACAGGAGTTGAAGGATACTGTTCAAAATGAACAGAGTAGAAAATAAAAGATACATAAGAAAATGGAAACGTATACGCAATATGAGATATAAATACATCATCCATGGAAAGAAAATACAGACTTTTCTAAATACCAAAATAATTTTTAAAAAATCTTTGACAAAGAAGACACATTAAGTAGAGAAATAAACGGTAAATACAACATAGAATATTCAGTAATTAGAATATAAAATATGACAGAGTTGAAAGGAAACATCAGGAATATAATGGAATGTGAATTAGTATAATGTACCTATTAGAAGAAAAATATTGTCAAACTGAATCACAAAGCAAAACCTAACTCTATATTGTATATAATAAAGACAAAGAACACAGTATTTAAAAAGGCTCAAAGATATAGCAGGCAAACAGGAAAAATTAGAAAGCAGGTGCTGAGACTGTGTTTCAGACAAAGCTGAGGCAAAGAAAACAAAATTAAGACAGAAGATAACATTTATGACTATGCATCAAATAAAACACAACTATTACATAAAGCAGAAACTTCACGAAATAAAGGAAATAGAAATACTATTTATTAGCTCAAGACTCTGACACACAACTTCCAGTCAAGAAAGAACAAAATAGGGAAATAAAATTACAAGATCTTAAAAACAATTGTATCTTCTTCTCAAGTACACATGGAATATTGATAAAAATTATCATTAAGTCAAAGAAAGTATAGCAACAGTAAGCTCCATCAAGTAAAATACTATAAGCAACATTATCTGATCACAATGAAAAAGTAGAAATGAAAGAAAATCAACTAATCAACAAAGGAAAAATTTTTAAAGGCCTTTCCATCTGGAATTAAAACAATAAATAAATAAAACCATCTCAACTAAACAAGTCTTGAGAAAGGGGAAATATAAACAGATACGTCAGAATTTGTAACAACAAGAAAATACAACGTACCAAAATTTACGAAAAGCATTTAAAGTGGTTATTAGCCTTAAAACAACTGCATTGGTAAATAAAAATGATGAAAGTAAGTGAATTAAATTACACAACTAAAAGTAACCGAAATTACCTCTGTCAATTCCTCATTTAACAAGTGAAAAGTAAGACTCAAATCATGTGATCTGTCCAAGGTCCTATAACTAGGTGGTAGAAAGACTGATCTTAACTGGTATCTTTATTAGATCATCATCTTTCTGGTTTACTGCCTCTATGATAAATTTAAAAAATCTCTACCATGTTTAAAAGCATTCACGAAAAACTAACAAAAAACGAGTTTATATTTCACGGTTTGCGGTGATGTCATATGATCCTTTAACCAAGACCATCAGAATCTTCTAGGTATGAGAAACACAGGTTTTAAAATGAAGTATGATTTATATGAGCTAAGTGTTATTATAACCCTTTCAGCAGAAGGGAATATATACATATGTTTTTTAATAAATGTGAGGCACTGAGCAACCCAAGCGAGTAATTTTGGCAACTTTTGTGGTCTTTCAGAAATATTTCAGGGAGAATGATGTGAAGGTTCAAAATAAACAAAATATATTTAAAAGACATACAGAAAGTGAAGTTGATATGAATTTACTCAGGTTGGGTATATTTAAAGAAATACGTTTGCCACTAAGGCTGTTAATTTGTTGGAGTAATTATTAGCAATACCCAATGTCAAGATGTGAAAGCTAACAAGTTAGCCAAATACATACTGTATGACAGATGTTGGTAGAAGACACAAGGCTTCTGGGTCAGAGACAAACGGCAGTTTATTACTCATAGCAATAGCAGGAGCCAGAGTATCAAAATTTTTAAAAAGCTCATTCACTGTTTTACTTTTTTTCCCCCAGAAACCCAAAGCCCCAGATACATGGTAGATATTAAACTTAAGACATTAAAAAATCCATGTAATAAAAACTACAGGGAGTCGTTTAGGAATACAATACCCCTAAAATGGGCTAATAAGTGGAAAACATATTATTTGATTGAGAAAGGGAAAACCATTTGTAGCTCTAGTAGCATGATACGCAAACACAAAGCATGATTACAATAACCTCTACTTTTAGAACCTAAGTAGTGATTAATTACACACCGTGTGCTAGGCTGAATAGCTCCTGGAAGACGTCTATGTCGTAATCCCCAGAGCCTATGAATACATTATTTCACATGGCAGAAAGGACTTTGCTGATGTAATTAAGAATTTTTAAGATGGGGTTATTATCCTGGATTATCCAGGTAAGTCAAATGTAATCACAATCTTCCTTACAAGAGGGTAGCAGAAAGGTCAAAGAGAAGGAGATGCAGAGAAAACAAATAAACAAAAACATTAAGTGTGGGAAATGGGGGAGGTGGAGGGGGAAGAGAGAGAGGGAAGAGAAGATGCTATGCTGCTTGCCTTGAAGATGGAGAAAGACGCCATGAGTCAGGGAATGCAGGTGGCCTATAGAAGCTGAAAAGGCAGGAAAATTTCTCCCCTAGAGACTACAAAGAGAATATAGCCCCACTGAAAGCCTACAGAAATAATACAGTCCTGTTACCGTTAGGACTTCTAACCTTCAGCACTGTAAGACAATACATTTGTGTTGTTTTATGCCACTAAATTTGTCATAATTTGATACAGAGGCACTAGGAAATTAAGGTATTTTCTATCTCCTACCAATCTTTGTATTATAAAATAATTCATTATACCGTATTATTTGGACAAACACTATATGCCATAAATAATAATTAAATATTTACCTTAAAACTAAGCAAAATATAGATGTATTTGGATGGCTTTAACTTTTTGTCTTATACCATTTATACTTCAGTATTTTGGATCAACTCATTTATTACCTTAGTTTTAAATACAGCTCTTTGTGTCATTAAAAGGGAATACTATCTCCTAAAACATGGTTGACATAAAATGTAAAAATTGTGTTTAGCAAATATGGATGGATAGGAAAGCTGTGCTATAACTGGAATTGTCAGGTACTCTTTTAAGTAAACAATGAGAAACTAAGACTTTTTTAAGACACACAAAAACTGCAATAAATGATATATTATGAAGTTATTCTTATTCAGAAGAAATCAGGTACTGACTTTCAGAGTAAGGCTCCTTTTGATGTACTATTACAATTGCACAGATAGCACCTTAAATATTAGTGTTCCTACTAAAAGATTAGAGAAAATTTCACACACAGCTTTTCTGAATCCTCCTAAGAGTCTGCTGTGAAGTCTGCTTGGGAAGTTCATACTGAATTGTGAGGACTAGCAAATTATTTCTCTAACTGCTCTGAAACCTAGATTTACATATATTTTAACTCAGAATATCCATTTTTTAAGGGAGAATTTTAAAAAACTTTTTTTTTTTATCACTGTAGGACTGAATTTAACAGTATCAATAATACATTACAATTTGGTCACAAAATACTTATGTTTTAAGAACATATAAATTACTTATCAAATTGATTATGGAAGCCAGTCATAGCAAAACTCAGTAGAATCTAGAAGATCAGTAATTAAAACTGGAGGAGACATGAAGAATTGAGTTTTCAAGATCTGAAGTAATTAATTATTTACAAAGAATGCCTGGGAAGATGGACAACGTCCCTGGATTTGAGGCTGGGGTCCCTTACCTGACAATACATCAACTCTCTTCATTATAAATTGTTTTCTACACGTGCACTGGAAAGCAAGTAAGCCCTAATTTGGCAAAAAAGTAGCAAACTCTGAAAGACAAATGGTATGTAGAGGCTTAGGCACTAAAGAATCACTACAGCTTTCTGGCTAACTATTCAGAAGTGTACATATATTCTAACCAGCTTGCTGAGAACAATTCTGCTTCAAGTGAGAACATGGTTGGGCAATAAGACATGTAGTCAAAAAAAAAATGCATTGAGGACATACATAAAACAAACAACTTATGCTTATAATAACCTTTGTTCTCCATATTCTTGACATAAAAATGGAACGAAGAGCCTAGAGTGTAAGTTCTTCAAGGGTAAGAATGGTGTCTTATTCGCTTTGACTGTCAGACTCAAGCACAATGACACATGTTGAACAGAACTGGACCAGTGTAGAAACATTTTAAATGTCTATTTCCTTTTTTCCCCAACTTTCATTTTAGATATAAGGGTACATGTACAGATTTGTTACATGGGAATATTGTGTGATGCTGAGGTTTGGAGTGCAGATCCCGTTCGTGCTGGGAGTGAGGACAGTACCCCATTGGTAGTTTTTAAACCCAGCTTTCTCCCCACTGTGTAGTCCACAGTGTCTATTGTTCCCATACTTAAGCCAATGGGTACTCAATGATTAGCTCCCACTTATAAGTGAGAACATGCAGTATTTGCTTTTCTCTTCCTCTGTTAATTTGCTTAAGAATACAGTCTGCAGCTCCATTCATGTTGCTGCAAAGGACACAATTTCCCTTTTTTTTT